CTGCCAGAGCGGAATGTCTGCTGACAGGGCAACCAGGGGCTTCCCCCTGCAGGGAGGCCTCCGCAGGGGCCAGAAATCATTCTCCAGGCTGAGCAACCCCTGCTGACAGCGGCACAACAGCAGGTGGCCTTCCTAAACCGGGAGACGGAGGGCTCATCCAAGTTCTTAGGAATGCAGAGAGGGCAGGCAGCGACTGGCAACACCCAAGCGCCTCGCATTTCCCCGGGGGATTGAAGGCGGCAATACCCCTTCCTGTCCAGTCCCCGGGGCATGATCAGAATGGACAGGCCTCAGATCCTACAGGATCTTCTCCCTCCCCTCTCCTTTTTTTTTTTTTTTTTCATACTTCCCTTTGCCCATCTTACTTTTTTTTTTTTTATATCAATCTTTATTGTTCATATTGTTACAAAGGTTCCTCATTTCTTCCCCCCTCCACCAGGTTCCCACCCCACCCTCCGCCCCCTCCCCATCCCCCATTGTCCTCATCCATAGGTGCAGTTTATGTTCAGTCTCTTCCTCCCTCCCTTTCCCCGATAGTAAATCCCTTTTCAGATAGTAAATCAGTTACTTAGCATTTTCTCATATCAATAATACCACCACATGCCCAATGATACATTTCACACAAAAGACATTTCCAAATAGGTCAACCAGCCTCATCCAGGCCCCACCCAAGGCACTCACAGATCAACACAGATCAACACCCCAGCGCTATACTAACTCAACACATCCAGATCTAAGCCTTCATCGCTTGATTCAGCAGACCCTCAAGTTCCCACAAAAGTTTCCAGCCATGTCTGAGAGGCAGCCGTGGGGCAGGGGCAGGCGAGGAGCGAGCTGTTCCAGGCCTGGCTGTTCCGGGCCTGGCCTCTGTTGCTCTGGTTCGTTCCACAACCAGCTGCTCCAGGTCTGGTCACCGCCGCTCCCGACCTAGTTGCTCTGGACTTGGCTGCTGCTGCTCCGGGCCTGGCCACACCGGACCCGGCTGCTCTGGGCCTGGCTGCTCCGGGCCTGGACGCTCCCAGCCTGGCAACCACTGCTTTGTGCCTGGGCACTCTAGGCCTGGCCGCCGCTGTTGTAACATTCTGTCCTTTTTTTTTTTTTTTTTTTTTTTTTTTTTTTTAAAAAAAAACGCATTTATGTTGCAATGTTGGCTGGTGAGTTAAGTTCTGACTTAGTCTTTGATTTTTCAAGATCTTCTTTGTATTCTTTCTTAAGTAATTTTACTATCTTTTGCTCTCACTTGATTTCTTCACATTGAGAACTTCTTTGGTTTCTTCCTCCTCATCCTGGGAGCTCAGCAGGTTGGCCTGTGGCACCCCTTTGTTCTCCGCGGGCTCCTGCGCTGCTTCAGCCTGTTGCTGGGGTCGGCGCCGCCCAGGAAGCAGCCCCCGGCCTTGGCTCCGTTGCCCGCGCTCAGCGGTCGAAGGCTCAGGGGCACCCCCCACCCCCCGGGGGCCCCGTCGCCCGGCTCCCTGCCGGCGCCCGGCTGGCTGGTGTCCGGTAGGGGCTCCTGCTCCCTGTTGCATTCCTCCAGTCTGGAGCTTTTTTTTTTTCTCCTTCCCGCTAGGGGAGTCTAGGATCAGAGTCAACAGACTGTCCTCTGCGCGTAGTGCGCGCGACTCTGGGGGCTCCGCTTTTCGCCGATCCACTGGGATTCCGCCTCACAGCCCCGTCTCCCCCTGCCCGAGCCTGGGTCCCAGGGATTGGCCTAGAACTGGGGTTCAGAGCAGTCCGGACTGAGGCTCAGTGCCTCCGGAGGCTTTGTTTCTTCCAGCTAGGGTAATCCAGCATCAGAGTCAACATTCAGTCCTCTGCGCGCAGTGTGCGCGCGACTCTGGGGGCCCTGCTTTTCGCTGCTCGCTTGGGGTTCCGCCTCACAGCCCCGTCTCCCCCGCCGTAGCCTGGGTCCCCAGGGTCTGGCCCATAACTGGGGCTCAGCACTGCCGGTTCGGGGGTTTAGCCCAGGCTGGGGGTTCTATTTCCTTCCTGCTAGAGAACGCCAGGTAGCACCCAGCCCTCTTCTCCTCTCTGGCTGCGACCTCTCCGCGCGCACGCGCGCGTGCGTGCGAGCGCGCAGTATGTCTCTGTACCTTAGACTTTTTTTCAGCTCCTCTGATTTTCCTTCTGGTTTTCTCTTTCCTTCTTGTTGTATTATAGAATTTTCAGTCAGTCGACTACTTGTAGCTCTGGGCGATGTCCACTCTACATTTTAGTTGTATTCCATTGAATTTGTTGTGTGCTGCTGTGGTTAGATGTCTACCCGAGCAGCCATCTTGGATCCTCTCCTCACAAGTACTCTTTTTTTTTTTTTTAAAGATAGAATCAGTGCTATATTTTATTGATTTTGTACAGAGAGGAAGGGAGAGAGATAGTTAGAAACATTGATGAGAGAGAGTCATCGATCAGCTGCCTCTTGCACACCCCCTAATGGGGATGTGCCCGCAACCAAGGTACATGCCCTTGACCGGAATCGAACCCGGGACCCTTCAGTCCCCAAGCCGACGCTCTATCCATTGAGCCAAACCGGTCTTAGCCCTCCCCTCTCCTTAATCACAAGGTCTTAACACCAACACGGAACAGGCAGCCTCTTCTTATCAACCTTTTCTGTACTGCCCCGGTCCCATAGCTGCCTTGATGACAAACCTCTTGGGAGACATCTTTTTAAGGGGACCTGTTGTCCAATTTTAGATACAGGTTTCAAGAGACTCAACATATTAAAAACTAAATTAAAAGGAAATTAAACTTTTATTTTAAATTTAAAAAGATGGTGTCCTCCCAAGGACAGCTGACATGAGGCTTCCCCATCGTCCCTACCCTCAAGTTAAAGAAACTACCAAGGACATTCCCACTCCCAATTCTCAAAACATCCTTGAGTATTTACATGCTCCTGACCATCTCAAACTCTTCCCTAAAGAACTTCCGAACAGCGGCCACTTCAGTCAAGAGGGACAGAAAAATTCTCCAGCTTAGCAGCTATGAATTAACCCATGCATCACATCGGTAACTACCTGTTCACTCCTGATGCTGCAATGCCTCGTGCTGAGGATCAGCTATTAATGCGCCAGTGAGTATAACTGCACAACATCCCCACAGTAAAACAGGTGTTTTCCCACACTTCATAGTCTGGTATTACTCTATGATCAGCAGAAATTTGAGGGCTTTTAGTTGTTTTATAAATACACTAATTCCCAAGGAAGTTATTCAAAGTTCCTATTACGCTGGTGTGTGAGATTAACTTTGTTGTTACAATGATAAGGTTTCAAAAGATTACACTGAGCCTGAATCACAGGGGGAAAAACCTCACCGGGAACACTGGAGCCCCGTTGTTTGAGAGGAAGAGACTTTGTCCCAGGGACCAGGGCAGAGGTTCTGGGTGCTGGCTACACAACAGAATAACCAAAGAGCTTTAACAACTCCAGCCCCAGAGACTGGCTTAACTGGCCTGGGATAGGGTCCTGCATCGGTATTTTTTCAAAGGCTCTTCAAACGACTTTAATAGGCATCCTGAGCTGAGAACCACAGATTTAGATAGATGAATACTGGTCTTTTGCATTTGACAAAAATCCCGTAAGTTCAGGCTTTGGCTTAAAAAAAATTTTATAGCCGAAACCAGTTTGGCTCAGTGGTAGAGCATCGGCCTGCGGACTGAAAGGTCCCAGGTTTGATTCCGGTCAGGGGCATGTACGTTGGTTGCGGGCACATCCCCGGTGGGGGGTGTGAAAGAGGCAGCTGGTCGGTTTCTCTCTCATCGACGTTTCAAGCTCTCTATCTCTCTCCCTTCCTCTCTGTAAAAAATCAATAAAATATATTTTAAAAATTTTTATAAATAAAACTTTCTTCAGTGCCATGTGTATGCTCATGTTAAATGCTTAGTATAAGACATCAGTGGTTCCATCATGTGACCCCGGGACTGCAGAGCAGGCTGGAAATGCTGACAATGGTGAGAAGCAAACACAAAGGTGAAGATTTGAGCAGTTTGGCTATTCTTCTCCTTAGTTTTCTTAGTTACGAAAATTAAGTGATTGCTAAACACCATGTCTGCTTTGGTAACAGAAGTTTTTATCTGATAGAACTGAGTTAAGTTGATTCTTTGAACAGCTAATACAAAAAATAATCTTATAATTTAAACACATATAACATCTACTTATCTAAATAGGCTAACTCCCTACAAGGGGGTGAAAAACAGAGAGAAAAGCTTAATCCTGCTAATCAGTGAGCTTCAGTGTGGCAAATTAACATTAGTCTGCAATTTTTTGTGTGTGTGTGTTTTTGTTAATCTTCACCCAAAAATATTTTCCCACTGGTTTTTAAAGAGAATGGAAAGGAGAGGGAGAAAAAGAAAAACATCAAAGTGTGAGAGAGACACATTGACTGGCTGCCTCCTGCATGCATGACCAGGGCCGGGGAATATGCGTCCAAGGTACAAGGTGCAGGCTGGTTTCCTGTTCTAGCATTGACCTTTTATTTTCGATTAAGAGAGAGGAAATGAATGCTGAGGCATTAAAGAAAAATTCACAGAAGGCTACCTAAAAGCAGAACCAAGATTTCATTGAAAAAGTTTTCGTTAAGTATTTGTAACTTCCAAGTTATCTATCTTAACCAAATAAAGCTGGGGTATTTAAAACTGCTTAAGAAATAGGAAGCTTGAGCATCTACCCACGTACCAGAAGATCAAGGTTCAATTCCTGGTCAGGATACATGCTGGATTGTGGGCTAAATCCCCAGTGGGGGGAGTATGCAGGAGGCAGGTGTGATTCTTCTTCTTCTTCTTTTTTTTTTTTTTTAAAAAAAGTACTTTTATTGATTACAGAGAGGAAGGGAGAGGGAGATAGAAACATCAATGATGAGAGAGAATCATTGATCAACCACCTCCTGCATGCCCACACCTGGGATCAAGCCCACAACCTGGGCATGTGCCCTAACCAGGAAACGTGACCTCCTGATTTATAGGTCAACGATGCTCAAACACTTGAGCAACACCGGCTGGGCCCGATCAATGATTCTCATCATTAATATTTCTGTCCCCTTCCTCTCCCTTCCTGTCTCTGAAATCAATTAAAACATATTTAAAAACAAAACAAACAAAAAATAAACAGGAAGCTAGTTCTAATACTTTTGTTCCTCTTTAACAGAAGCTCCTTTAACTACTCACGCCAACAGGCTATATTTACTATTCCCCTTAGGCAGCATTTCCTAGCAAGGCAGCAGCAGCCCTGCTGCAGACAGCGTAAAGGAGCTCATGATCCAGGCCACCTCAGGAGACCCGTGCGCTGCAGGTTCAGTCACCACCCAGCAGAGCCACTTGGGTGCTGCACCAATAGCAGCACTGTTGTCATCTCTAGCAGAGAGCTCTGGCCTGCTATTGGTGGCCAGCACCTGGCACCAGGCCCCATACCCGTATCATACACACTGAGCTCTATGAGGCTTTATGGATGGAGGGGGGAGAGGAGGCCGCCCAGAGCAGGTGTTCCTACTCCTCCAGTCACTGGTTGTTGAGAAAATGTGCTGAGTCACTGAGTGCCAATCAAGAGTAAAAAAATGCAGAGACTGCAAATACTCATCTCCTTCATCCTGCCCTCCTCCTTCCTAACAGCAAGAAGACTCAGGTAATATTCTTAACTCTGAAAACACTAGGGCATGGACAAATCCACACACCCTGAGTCCCTAAAGAAAAGCTTTCAAACTCTCAAAAATCTAAGGCACTAAACAAAACTACTTCATAACAATAACTATCTCTGGGTAGAGGGGATAAGGGTGATTTCTAGGATATAATTTGAAAACATTTCAACTCACTAATTATGAAAACTCCAAGGTTCAAGGGTCAGCCCAACACAAAACTAAAGGAAATACTAGATGAAGGTCACTGGGCTTTGTGAATACTTGCTCTCTCATCTTCCTAGAGGCAGAAGAGTATAACTCCAAGGTCGGCAAACTACGGCTCTCAAGCCACATGAGGCTCTTTGGCCCCTTGAGTGTGGCTCTTCCACAAAATACCAAGGCCTGGGTGAGTCTTTTCTGAAGAAGTGGCATTAGAAGAAGTTTAAGTTTAAAAAATTTGGCTCTCAAAAGAAATTTCAATCGTTGTATTGTTGATATTTGGCTCTGGAGACTAATGAGTTTGCCGACCACTGCCCTATCATGGTAGAAAGAAAATTCCACCAATGGAACACTTTTGAGCGAAGAGGAAAAAAAAGAGCAGTCATAAGGGCACATGAACTTGGGTTGACTTCTGCTTATTATCCATTCTTCCTCCTTTTCCAGGTTAGATATGCTAATAAAAAACAAGTCACCCTAAACCCTGGTCTGGGAGCAGTAAGAAAACAACTGCATCCTAGAAAAACTAATTGCACTGGACAAAAAGTTGTTCCTAAAGTGTTAACTAAAATTTTTTATTGGCAGTTCATCTCAGGATAAAATCTCATATCAGGAAATGAACCTAAAGCAGTCAAATTATAGTACAAAAATTAAAATTAAAAAGCTATCAAGATTACATTATGAAAATTTCAAAAGCCTCCTAATATTTAAATCAAAAAAAGGGGGAAAGTAGAAGAATATCATGTAAGGAAAAATATCCTGAAAGTAAATTACATCTAGAAAATTTGTACTTTAGAAAATTAATTGTAATGCTATCAGCAAGACACCCATGAAGAACACACATGGTATCAAACAAGCCAGAGGAAAACCATTTGGGCAAAAAATGAAAAAGGATCCCAAGTCAAATTTATAGAAAATATTATTTTATTAACTTTTGGTCAAGAGTATGATTGTATATTTTCAGAAAACAACTCTGAGACCATGTGGATTCTGGCAATTGACAGGACTACTCCAACCATGAAGACAGAAGAGAAACAGTCCAGAGATGGAAGATGCTGACAACGCCTTGCCATAATAGCAGTCAGCAGCTGTGTATCACTGCAGGATGCCCAGGACCAAACCAGAGAGGGGTGAACCTGCATCACCACCATTTGTCCACCATCCAGAACTGAAATATCATTGCTGACATATATACATAAGGAACTGTTTGACATTGAAATTGGGTCTCAAAAGAACTGGTGGCCCAGAAAGAAGCTCACTACAGACTGATGCATATACCTTTCAGCATAACGATTATTGCTTGTCTCATCTTTGATTCTTATATTTCCAGTAGGACATGATCTCACTCATTTAGGGGAAATGGTGAACAACATAGACTGATGAACAAGAACAGACCCAGAGACAAGGAGCCATGGGTCAGACTGTTGGACCTCAAAGGGAGGGTGGGGATAAAAGGGAGAGATCAACCAAAGGACTTATGTGCACACATATAAGCCTAATCAGTGGTCAAGGACAATAGGAGGGTGGGGGCATGAGTGGGGGGGGGTATGGAATGAGGGTTTGAAGACAAATATGTGATACCTTAATCAATAAAGAAATTTAAAAAAAGAAAAATAAAGTAAAAAACAAAACAAAACAAAAAAACACCTACATAATAAAAAGGTTTATAAAGCATTTGTCTTGCTTTTGCTTAAATTTTAATTTAAAGCAACTAAAATCCAAATTCCCTGGCCTATTATCGAAGAGCATCATCTGAAACTCACCAACCTGTCCCTCTACCTCTATGACTTCACACTTCATGCTCAAAGCCAACAGCGTCCTTAGTTGGCCCTCTCCATAACTCTTTCTTCTGCCAGGCATGCTCTTCCTTTCTCCAAATTCTACCCATTCCTCAAATCTCCAATCAAACGTTACCTCCTCCTAAAGTCTTCCCTGACCTCAAAGACTGAAACACTCCCTTCTTCTTCATATTAATATCCATAGCATCTAAATGACAGTCATCTATGTTGTACATGCTTCTGAGTTTAAGCTTCTAGTGGAGGACAGGCAAGCCCAGCGTCCACGTATCTTTATCTGCATCAGACCACTTCATTCCCTGCTGTGCACCTATCTTGGAGAGTGTTCAAATGTTCATTGATTTAAGAAAACGAATAAATATCTCATTTAAAATAAACAAATAAACAAACCAGGGCTCATGGAGTTATGTGATCTACATGTGCATATATATGAGTGCAATCGTAAGAAAAAGAAGCTGTGCCTGAACGTGCCTCAGACACAGAAACAGTGTGAAGGAGTGGTCATAACAAGACATAAATCTTCATGTTTACTGAAATAATGCCAGCCCAAAGAACTAACAGCAACAAAGGAGATCCCGATTAGCACTTCAGGATTAAAGCGTGTCTGCTAAGCATGGAATTGTGTGTGGCCACAGCATTAACTTAATAGTCCTAAACAAACGAAGGTGTTAGTCACCCCATCGTTGGGTGACTTCATTATCTCTGAGCAGAGGTGATACAAATATCTTAAGATGTGACTGAGTAGAGCAATTTTCCCAAAGAGTATTTCAAAGGAAAGATTTGGCCACAATACTAAGAAATGGGCAAACTGTGCACTCTGCAACTTTGCTTACAGAATGAAAAAAAAAAAAAAAAAAAATCACCGGCCTGTTTAAAATCAGAATCTGATCCTCGGCGCTTCGCTTCCGACTTCTGTTTAACACAGTTTCAGGTCAACTGGGCCTATCAGAGGCTAATGGTGGTGAGTAAAACCTTGTTCCTTGGAGTAGATTTTTCTTTCTGAGGGACAGTAACTACACCTGGCAATTGGAACGTCTGGTTTTCTAATATAGAAATGATGGCTATGATTATATGACATGAAATTTTAATCTCTTATCCAATTACCAGCTTACATTTTAAAAAACGATATGCTTTACGTAGCCATTGTACTTCCCAGCTACTTAAAGAATTCATTTTTTATATCATCTCTGAATCAGAAATCTTTGGTCATCCTTTTGGTTCCATCTATCAGCCAGCAAACTATGAATATAGCAGACAAATTCAAGATCTATAAATCTTGAGAAATTCTGGTTTTTGACAGGTTAAATGCAAGAGCCAGAAGGTGGCATGTAAACTTGTGAAAGCATTTTATATGTATTCACTTTAGTGTGTATAAAAACATTGGTTGCATAAACCTATGATTTGATTGCTTAGATCAAGGCTAAGCAAAAAGAAAAAAAAACAACTAATGAAAAATATTTTAAGTAATGAAAGTTCTGAAGGAACAAAGATATGGTAAATACTAAAAAACAAACAAAACAAAAAAACCCACAGGATTCAAACTTCCAAGTTTTAGAAAGATAAAAGGATAATAAAAATGAAATTCATAGACTCCAGAAATTTTATAAAAGTGATATTAGCCTTCCTGTTTCGTTAACATGTTAGCGGCCAGCCTGTTTTGTCTTCCGGACAGAAAGTATAGCGTCCGTCAGTCACCAAGGGAGGGGTTACGATAAGGCTCAATCACATGAAGTAAACTTGTCTGATGCCTCACTTTAATTTGGGGGACAAAAGGTACAACAGTGACTCTATTTCCAGTTCTCCACTTACAAAGAAAAAGCTGACTGCTGCCACTGCACATCCCAATGTCAACTCTTCTCTACCCAACTGGGAGGGATCCTGTCCCCAGAAATTTCACAGGACCACACCCCAGCTTCCCAGGTTTGACCTCTTCCTGCTCAACAAGCCATCTTTGGACAAGCCTGCACACTCCCAACGCTTCATCTACATCAGGGGTGAAGAACACCACTAAATATTTGACCATATATAGCAGGCTAATTTTTTTAAAATATATTTTTATGGCCGAAACCGGTTTGGCTCAGTGGTAGAGCATCGGTCTGCGGACTGAAGGGTCCCGGGTTCGATTCCGGTCAAGAGCATGTACCTTGGTTGCGGGCACATCCCTGGTAGGGGGTGTGCAAGAGGCAACTGGTCGACGTTTCTAGCTCTCTCTCTCTCTCTCTCTCCCTTCCTCTCTGTAAAAAATCAATAAAATATATATATTGTATATATATTATATATATATATATATATATATATATATATATATATATGCATTTCAGAAAGGAAAGGAGAGAGAGCGAAACATCAATGATGAGAATCATTGATTGGTTGCCTCCCACATGCCCCCTACTGGGGGGTTGAGCCTGAAACCTGGGCATGGGCTCTGACAGGAATCAAACCGTGACCTCCTGGTTCATAGGTCAATGCTCAATCATTGAGCTATACTGGCTGGGCAGCAGGCTAACGTTTAAGTTGATAATTTTATACGGCCAGCAAATGTTATAAATATCCAAATGGCCCTTGGCAGAGAAAAGGTTCCCCACCCCTGATCTACATAGCATGCACGAATGACTCTAAATTTGTTTCCTGTTCTCCTCTTGCCATGCTCTATCTAGCTACTGATCATTTTACCTGGATGCACTTCAAATTCTACATGCTTAAAAGCAAACTCATTCTTACCCGCAACCCTAGGCAACCCGATGTGTCCCTCCCTTTCCAGAAATGCCCCTAAATCTCTCCCATCTCCTCCACCTCATTATTACGCTGACGACAGACCCAGGGCCTCTCTCACATGGGCTAGCACAAGAGCCTCCAGCCTGCTCTCTGTGTTCTCTCTCTCTCCTTTTACAGGTATTTTTTTCCTTAACTGCCTCAAAACTAATCTTAAAAATCCCTTATCAGCTCAACCTCATTAGTCATTAGGTCAAGATTATTGGGCAGGGGAGGGGGAGAAGGATCAGCTGGAAGAAGGTAAACGGGATAAATGGTGACAGAAAGAGACTAGACTTTGGATGGCGGGTACACAATGCAATGTGCAAATGATGGACTGTAGAACTGTGCCTATATAATTTTATTAACCAATGTAACCCATGTAAATTCAATAAAAAAATAAAGATAACGATAACAGCAAATATTGGCAGGCATGCAGAGAAACTGGATGCACACATTATTGGTGGGAATGTAAACTTGTACAGCTACTATGAAAAAGGGTATCGATGTTTCTTACGAAACTAAGCACGTATCGATACTTATCATATGACCCAGCAATCGCATTCCTGGGCATTCCAGAGAAATGAAGCTTACCCACACAAAATCCTACATGCAAATATTGAAAGCAGTTGTATTTGTAATAGCAAAAAATTAGAAGTAATTCTTATGTCCTTCAACAGGTAAATGGTTAAACAAACTATGGTTTATCTATCACATTGAATACTGCTCACAATTAAAAGGGAAGAAATACTGAAACACCACAAATTAGATGGCTGTCAAGGGACGAACATGGAATGAAAAAAAGCCAATCTCTAAGATTCCATACTCTAGATTTCATTTATATACAATACTCAAAATGACAAATAGAGATGGAGAACAGAATCATGGTTGCCAGAGCTTAGGAGAGGGCAGGGAAGTGGCTGTGGTTATAAAAGGCTAGCATGGGATGGAGGTGTTTTGTATCTTGACTGTGGTAGAGGTTCATACAAATCTATACATGTGGAAAAAAAAACCTGCACAGAATACACACACATAAATGAGTGCTTGTAAAATTGGTGAGGTCTTAATCAGGTGGATGGACTGTATTAATGTCAATCAATCTCCTATTGTGATATTCTACTGTAATTACTCAAGAAGTTACCATTGGGGGAAGCTGGATAAAGTGCATATGAATCTCTCTATATTATTTTTTACAGCAGCATGTGGCTCTACAGTTATCTCAAAATAAAAAGCTAAAGGATGAAAAACCCCGCCTCAATGACAATAACAGTTCCCCAATACCCATAGTAAAGCATGGCATGCAGAATTTCCCTTACACATCCTACAATCAAGACAACTAGTTCTAAGAGCTAACTTCTTAGAACACAGGCTACATGGCAGGCGCCATTCTAAGCATTTTTATGTATTATCTCATTTAATCCTCAATGATCAATGATTCCACAAGTTCGGTTCTACCATCAATGCTACTTTAAGAAACTTTTTAAAAAGGTTTTTAGAGAGAAACATCGATGTGAGAGTGAAACACCAGTCGGCACACCCCTTACGAAGGTTCAAGCCCACAACTCAGGAATGTGCCCTGACCGCGAATCGAAATGGCAACCTTTCCATATATAGGGCAGAGCCCAACCAACTGAGCAACACTGGCCAGGGCCTGTGACTGCTATTTTATTCCCAAACCACTAAGGCACAGATGATGTACTAGTAAGTAGCTTGATAGCATCACCACCCAATCATCCTTCAAAGCCCTGCTCCAATGGTACCTTTGTGACTTCTTCTAGACTTAAGTGCTATACTAACAGGTCAAAAACTCAGAAGATGTTAATAAATACTTAATTAACAAGGTCTAGACAAAAGGACACAAAGTTATAAAACTGACACTTTAAAGATTTGACACTGATTACACTGAATCTCTGCTTCTCCAAAGTTAAGATTGAATGGGAAAGTATTGTACAGGTTATAGTGGGGACAGAAAACACCCATTAATGAGAAAATGTTAATAAGACAGCCAAAGAGGGACAGCTAACATTAGGCTAATGAAACTCCAGTGTCAGCTGCAAAGCTCACATCTTCCTCAAGTTTTCACAAAACATACACATGAACACAAACGCATGTCTTCTTAAGATCAGTCATCTCCCCGTCTCCTTTTCATGACTTTTGCAAGTCATGAAAAGGCATGATCTCTTTTGTTAGGAAAAAGACACTTTCTCCTTTTTAAAATTACTTCCCTTAGGAGAAACCAGATTACAGGTTTTTTACTTGAAAAGCTTACTGATTATCCTACAACAATCTAGAATTGTGCCAAGTATTGTATAAATTCTGAATGAGTCTCTCCAAAGGAGTCATTTTAAACACAGCCAACAGAAGCAGAAGAGAAGAAAACAACTTTAAGCCCATGAATGAAGCTTAATGGTTCAGATTTCTTCTGCTCCATCCCCCCTCCCCTCCCATAAGTTGTCTTCTCTTAAGCAAAACCTGTGCAGAAGGCACCAAAGGTGAGCATAAGTGGCAGAGAGAAGGCAACGGGAGAAGTGGGTAGAAGGTTAAAAGCCAAGTGCTCCTCTTTCGTAAATAACCATAAATTCTTTTTCTTTTTAGTTTACCTGTGCCAAACTGACATGCCAGGGAACAAGATCTCAAGTGTTCCCTATAAATTTTTTTAACAGTGATGTAAAGCCAATAAAGAAAAGGAAACTATGCATTACATGATAAAAGAAGGTGTGGTCTAGGAAAACAAGCAGCTAAGACAAGGAGCTCAGAAAGGAAATACTGACCTGCCCAGTTCTCCTGTATCTGGAGTCCTCTTTGTCCTGTCTGGAAGTACTGGTTCTCTCTCTCACGTTTCTGTAACCAGGACTGGGGATGATATACTCTTTTCCTATGTCGAGGTCCTTCATCTTCTCTGATTGGAGACGCCAGGGCTCACAGACTCCTGGTTTCACTTGATAATTTCTGAAATTAAAAATTCACCAAGAACAGATATTTCCTAAATTGTGCTTTATAATATGCAAAAGTGCTTTAAAATAGGAAAAAGGGCAAAAGCACTGAGATTTTCTACCCCTCTAGCTACAAAAAAATATTTGAAATCTTTTTCAAGTACCACTTCATATTTTCAAGGGGAAAAAAAATCAATATAATAGGATCAAGAATTCTCTCCTCCCACTGCTAAGGAAAACAAAAAGGTAAGAAAAACAGACACACTGGTAAAGAGACACCCAACTTCT